GATTCCACAATCACTTTACCCATAACTTTTAACAACATAACAACTTGATTAATGTATTCCTTGAACAGCAAATTTCCTGGGTTTACTTATAACATCTCTGGGAATGATGGATGCACCCTCTTGATAAAAAGTTGTATAATAATCTCAGGGTTTCAAATTTAGTCTCCTTCCGTGGCTCCATCACAAGTTGTTCAATTCACAACTCCCAAAGAGATCCTTGCTTTTCCAACAGCTGCCACCACAAGGTCAAGCTGGCACCTAAAAAGCAAACTGTGCTTTTTTTCTGCTTTATTTAAACACACACTCACACAAAATGTCCCAAACTGTCCCCACAGAATTTTTTGATGATGCCCAAGGCAATGTGAAAATGCAACTGCTCTCCTTGAGCTGCAGAACGTTGGTGCTGAGCATGGAAAAGAGGGGTTTGGAATAAACTGAGAGGGATTTGGAGACGGGACAAGGTGTGGTTTCAGTGCTGCACACACCACGTGGAGAGGAAATCATGGATGTGACTTGGGAATCATGAGAATCAGCCTCTACAACTCCACCTGCTGGGATGAGAACAGGGATCAAGGTGCAATTTTCACACTTCCACTTCTGTGCCTCGTGACCCTTCTCACCAACATGCTGTTCCCTCCTCACACCCATTTTTGGTGAGTTTTGGTCTGCTTTAGAGCTCTCACCAAGTGAATTCTCAGCTGCTTCTGCACTCCCCTGAACATTTTGGGAATGGGAAAAACAGACGAAAACTACTGTGCTCGGTTTGCCTACTCTTGTTTTTCCCAGTAACCCACTGCTTTTTTCACTTTTTTACACATTTGAAAGAAAGCTGACTCCCTGTCTTCTCCTCCTGATGTTGGGTAGATGTGTAACTGCTGCTGGTATCATGTAAGCACTGTATTAATATAGAATTACTTAATTTCTTCAGATTGCTGGCATTCCAGATTCTTCCAATGGCATTATTTTAAGCGTGGAGTTTCCTTTGGTTTTTAACGATTTTCTCATTTCTCTGAGTTTGTCTCATTCAAGACAGAAGCTGGAAGACCTTCTGCAAACTCCTTAAAATAGTTCAGAGTGTTCCTGTCAACCAGAACAGCTTGTGGAGACAAACCCACCTGTACCAACATATGTAACAGGTTTATTTATACACATTCAACTTCTGGATTTTGCTGCGGCCCAACTGCATCTCTAAGACTTTAACTTGTAAAAGCATTTTAATTAGCAATGATTAATTAAAATGAAAGGGTTTACTCAGCATGATGGGAGGTGATCACGCCACCATGACCTCCCCTAAAGGTCCAGGAGGGACAGAAAAGTGGCAGCACATCTGGATCTACCACAGCAAGGTCACCAAAGCTGACCACAGGGTACTAAAATTACCAACAGTGCTTAAAACCAGTGAAAACACAGGTGGAATACACACATGTAAAACACACAGCATTTAGGAAAGGAAGTCACAGGTGTTAGGAGTTAACACAGCTTTGAGGGAGGTGGAACAAATCCACTGAACTTCACTAACTACACAAAAGCCATGTTGGATTCAGGAAATTCCTGAAATAAAAACACTTGAAGGTTATGAGAGGAAGGTATCCTTTGATCTCACTCTGTTCTACTCTTCTCCAGGTATCTGCTCATGGATCCTGTTGGAGCCAGGATGTTGGCAGAAGGATCTTTGGTAAAACCCTCGATTCTCACACTTATAAAATGCCAAAACGTGTTTTAATAAGAGAATCACTGAATGGTTTGGTTTGGGAGGGACATAAAAAATCACCCAGTTCCAACCCCCTGCCATGGGCAGAGAAACTCCCACTAGACCAGGAATTCAGTTTGATTTAGTCTTGTCATGTCTTTTGGTAACTTTTGTAAGGATCCTCCCATCACAAACTTTTTAGTTTTCTTCGCAAAAAGTGGTGAATTTAAAAAACAAAGGGAAGATCTCAGGCAACATCCAGCAGGGCAGACAGGAGAAAGTGGTTTGATGGAAGAAGGGTGAGAGCACCGAGGAACTGAGGTGGGGGAAGGGGAGAAAAGGAGAGAACAGCACTGGATGTGACATTCCAAACAGGCTGGAAAATGCTGTCATTCACACTGTTATCACAGCTTTGCAATTATCAGCTTTTCCAGCTGTGAAAGCATCTGATTAGATTTTATATTTTTGGGGGGTCTATAAATATATCTTGACTTTTTTTTTTTTTTTAACCAGAGATTGTGCTGTTTGCTTTCGATATATTTAAAAATCAGGTGTAAGAAGGGAAGCAGATGTGCTTGTTTTCAAAACTGAAAGTCATAAAAAGGCACGTTAAGATTTTCACACTGGCTGATGTACAGGAAGGAAACAGTAATATTTCAGCTGGGAACAATATCCAAAGCCCAGGCCACACGTAGCCTGTTGGCAGCCAAGTGACATACTTAGCAAACCAGGAGCAGCAGATGATTAAATCTCATTATACCTGTTCCATTCCAAAACATTTTAGGGACAACTTGTGTCTCTCCAAGCACTTACTGTATTAATGACATCAGGAGCACCTCGTAAAATCCAAACAGGTAGTTTTATGCCAGCAGCTATAGCTGGACAAGTTACTCAATTCCAGGAATCTCAGAATTATTTCCCACCCAAAGCCATGAATAAGATGATAAAACAGGCAGAAGGTTTCTCTCTGTGACCTACCCAAGTTGCTGCAGAACTCTCCCACCATTCCATCCGGGTTGGCGGTGGGGATTTGGGTCAGGCCCGTCAGGATGAGAACATCACTGTTTTTAAGAGAAGCCTGGTCCATGGGCTGGAACAGAGCACAGGGAAATAACATCAGGAATGGGAAGTTATAACACAGCTTTCTCTGGGCAGGACATAATAGATACAGTGACCAAGAAAGAGAACACATGGAACACTTTAAACTTAACGTTCCTCCATCTGTGGAAACCTGACTGGAGTTAATAAAAACACGGACAACGGTTCACCTGCATCCCAGAGCCCAAACAAACAACGGAATTGGAACTGGATCCACCCCAGAGAATTCCCTGTAGTCTAATCAGTTCATGGCCTCAGGAGCTGAGCACTGAGAAGGCCATAATTTGCTGAGGATGTGGCAGCGAGTCAGGAAGGTTTGACACGTGCATTCTGAGCTCTGGCTGCTCTAGTTTCCAACTTACTTCCCTTTGCAAATCCAGGTGTCAGCTTTGATTTCCAGGGCTCTACAGGGGCAGCACCATTTTCCTCAACCCTTCAGTGGATTCTCTTTGGAAGAGGTGAGATCAGGAAAGGCCTTTGGGCTTGAAGCTCTCGGTTTTGGGGATGAATCTGAATCACAGGATCACGGCATCATAGACTATCCTGAGTTGGAAGGAACCCCCAAGGATCATCCTTCACCCTTTTTTCACTGAAGTCTATTAATTAACATGTTTTATACTGGTATTTTCCTAAAGCAGAATGAAAATGAAAACCCATTTCCTCCATTAGCAAACAGAGAGTAGATACTCTCTGCAGCCTCACCAACCAGGAAAGATTTCTGCCAGAAGAGACTGATGAAGAGATCACTAAACCTTGAAGACCACTGTGAGGTTAATTCCCCTGATTACAGTTCCCAGAGCCATTCTGAAGCAGTTGAGAAGGACCTTGCTCTGTTAAACAAACAGGGGAATTTCACATCAACTTTGACAGAAGTTTACACTGTGCACCCCCCTTGTAGGATCAGACCTGACACGTGAGATTTATCCCCATCTCCGACTCGCCGTAGTGTGTCCGTGAAAATGAAATGCCAATAATGGCAATAAAAAATAATATGGAATGTGCCTGTGATAATGTACATAATGATTATGCCATATTAGATCCACATAATTTCACATGCCATTGCACTGAGAGGGCCTGCATTGATTTTTGTGGGTTAATGTGAAGAATATGTCTTAAAAAGCTTTTAGTGACATGTCTGAACCTGTGCTGTCAACTCCCGTTCTCCACTTCAGTGGCAACGGTGTCAATTCGAGCCTCAGGAGAGGGGGAGGCAAAATTTCAGTAGAAACCATCTGCCAGAAGACAGAAAAGGGAACAATTAATGGTGCCAGGCCTAACTCCCAACTCAGTGCTCAGGTTTTGCTGCTGCTCAGAAAGCCCCAGATATGCTTGAGGGATACCCCTTTTAACACAAAGTGCAGTGACTGTTTTCACACACTGCTCAAAAACTGGGGATTTCATGATGAACTGCTCACCACCACTCTGTGGAGAAACAGGCCAGACAAACAACGTTGATCTGCTGAACACAATTCTGCCTCTGTGCCACTCAAGATACTGCTATCATTACATGTTGTCTGTCAAACATCAGAGGGATGAAGAGCTGGTTGGCAGCTCACAAAAGCCACTTAGTTATTGCAGAATCCATATTGGAGAAGCCCGTGTTGGCATTCACAGGGATGAACCTCAGGAGAAAAACTACCCATTGCCTTCAAAAAGCACCTGGGAGCAAATACAAGATGATGCTGATTTCTGGCAACGTCTGTGATGTGGCAAATGACAGGAAAAGTGCAAACCGAATGTGATTTTCATTATCTGGTAAAATATTCCTTCAAACTATGTGTTAGTGTAAAATTAAGCAAAGTGCAAGGGACTGGATGCTAAAAAATGAGGCTCTGGAAAGCACGTGGGACAAGCAGCACTGTCAGCAGTGAATAATCCCAGTTCCATCTCTTGTTGGAACAGGTCCCTCGGGTTTCAGGGAGGCTCCCAGAACCTTCTCCTGCACTTTTTAAGCTCCAGCAGCCCTGTCTGATGCTCCCACTTCTGCTGCAGGTTGCAGTGAGCGCAGATCACAGCACATGGGCTGTTCACTCACACCCTATTCCCTGCCACTGGGAGTTAATTTCCATAAAAACAAGGCTTCTACCAGGAGTTTCCAGAGGAATGTTCACCTTTGGAAAATGATGAAGGGTGGCCAATCTGACCTGATAAACTGAATCACCCCTTCACATCAACAAAGGCAAAGCATTCTCAGTTACCAAACTACTTCCTACAGAAGCTTCTCCTCACAGAAATATTCCTTTTATACCTTGTCAAATATTGCTGCTCCTTCACTAGGAGGGGATGAGAGAGCACAACCCAAGATGGAATGAGGCTGAGGAGAAAAAGGGGTTTAGGGGCTCTGTGCAGCTGAAGAATGGCCAGACTATTAAGGATCCTTTCTCTACTGCAGCTGCTCAGCTCCTGAGAACAAGCTTTTAAGTGAAGGATGCTCAGAAGCAAAGCACTCCACAGATCCCCACCTTGGGGGGAAATCACTTACTGATCATCAACCTGACACATCTGCTAAAATTATTTTTAAATACCTCCTGCTAATAATGCTTTTAACTATTTTGACAACTTCTGAAGCACACGGCCCCGCAAACTTCAAACCGTTCTTTGCACTAAGAATTTATGGATCTGGAGAGAATTAATTTACTGGAAATTACATCTACAGCACTATAAAGACTTTGCCCTGAGCAGAGCAGGGTGGAAGAGTTGGCAGGCAGTTAGCCATCATTTCTCCCAAGGAAGGATGTTTCAGAAGTGATATAGAAGCAGTCTGTGAACTGTCTGTGAAGACTCGTTGGTGAAATATGGATTTTAAAAAAATTCACTAATGCTCTATTGTTTAACTCTGTTGAAAATGTCCTGTTTAAAGAGAATTTCACTGTTATAAGTGAACATCAAATCACCAATAACACAGAATTTTAGTTATGTTTCCCCCATAACTACTGATACCTGTCACTTATCAGGGTGTGTCTTATCAGTGCCCACTAAGCCCAGCCATTGATAACAGAATTACCTTAGGATGGCTTCTATCCTAAACCCACCTGGAATAAGCCCTCCTTTTATTTTTAGCAAAGACATTTCCTTCTAAAGAAGACTAACAGAAGTGAGGGGCTGTACCTGAGGGTGTGTTGTAAGTAGAGAGGATCCTGAAACGTAGGAAACCTTCTCATAGTGCGACTGGATGATCCAGTTGGAACTTCCCAGAGCGTAGCCCGAGCTCAGGGGGGTGACCTGCACAGCACCAAACAGCTCCTGGAACGCACAGCAAGACACATGAACTTGGGTGAGCCCCAAAACAGGTCATTTTATCATCAGTGATGTGAATTTTTAAAAGCAGTTCTGCTACTCAAAGCCTTTATGAAGCTGAGAATCACTCATGTCTGACAGGACACACGCTCTGACAGGTGCTTTTCCTGAGGCAGGGCCTCCACAAAGTCTCTTTTCCATGTGAATCCTGTGACATCTAACTGAGCTCAAACTTAACCATACCTCAAAAGGAAGGAATCACCCAGGGTCTTGGTTCTCTGCCTGCCTTTGCTGTATTAAAAAAGTTTGTAGGGGCTTTAAATCTTTGAAAACTCTCTTCTCCTTTAGCCAAATTAAACTGGTATTGGCCAGCAGGAGAGAAGGAAGGACAAGCACTTCTCCACTGACAAAAAACTCTGCTTGGGTTGCAAATTTTACTGTGGAAAACAAACTTAACCTCAAACTCACTCGCTTTTTAACTTTACTTCTTTTTAGATGCTGTCTACTGGTGATTTAGAAACACCACCCTGCAAACTCAATCCACATTTTAGTTTCAGCATGAGCAGCCTGACAGTTGTCTCCTTCCCAGGTGTCATTAGAAACCTGCACACAGCCATGTGTTACCCTTGTTTGGAGAGAGGAAAATCAGCCTCCACAAACACCTCCCTAATGTGATCTGCTTTCTGGTTACTGAATAATGGAACAAGCACCCGATTCCTGCAATACTAATGATTTTTCTACTATCTCAATACACATTTGGATGCCTTGGAGAACAAGGCAGGGCCTCCATCCCTCAGAGCATGTAAACCAAGGCTCTAAAGTCTGGTTATAATTTTAAAAGTTAGCTTTGGGAGGAGATAAAATATGTTTGTTTTTTTCCCCCCATGGTAACTGTAAAAGAATGATTGGCTCAGATGCACAGAGGTAAAATTAGGAGGTGCATCCACACTGTGAGGGTGGTTGAAAATGAAGAGTAACAACCACGGATACTGAGGAGTCACAACTTACTTTAACCCATTTTTTTATTTCTTATGGCCCTGAGCAACAAAAACAAGTACCATGACCCACACAGGAGCAGGGATCATGGCCATGTGCTGCCTGCAAACCACAAGGGATCTGCAGACTATGGAATTGTTGGTTCAGTTCATTCTGGAAACTACAGTGGATTATAGTCAACAACATTACAGACAATGAGTGTTATCTGGGAGCTCTGGGAAGGGAGTTTCTGCAGTTCATGTTGAACCATTAGGTTTTGTTTACAATCCCTAATTTACAGCATGGAAGAAAGTGGAGGCTGAAGCACTCAAAAGACTCCCAGAAGTGAGATACAGTAACTCAGGAGGGGATGTGGCTTTACAGAGAGGATCCATCCATTCCCTGCATCCTCCCAGCTCTCAGTGGGCCGGCCATCAACTCCAAATTTGAAGGTACACTGCCTTAAAATTGGCCTCCCCAAGGAAGAGGAGAAACAAATGGATATTCTCTGATTTCACTGAACCTGAACCCTTCCTGGGAGGTAGAGACTGTGGGACATTCCTTATAATCCAGTCCTGCTTTCCTAGGCTACAGTAACTAGATCTTACACAGGAGCAGGAGGGGAAAGAGAAAAGGGAGGGCATTTCCAGGGAAAAGATGGGAGACAAGTTGTTGGTGTTGACCTGAGGGCAGCTTTAGAGGTACTCACAATTTTCTGGGAATATCCCACGAGCTGGATCTTACTGAGGGCTGCATTCACTTCTGGCATGGTGTAGCACTTCCTCCACATGGACACCTCCACCGCGTCCTTCAGCGGCGCCGGCAGCAACCTGCACACACCGACACCTTCAGAATGTCCTGGAGGACGTTTTACACCCCTCTCTATTCTCCAGACCTTAGATTTCACTCTTTTTGTTTTCAATATGACTGGTGCTTCTAAGTCAGGGCTCCTGTGGAGGAGCAGCCCATTCATCCCCACCCCAAGGACTGCTGTCCTTCAGCTCCTTGTTGCTGTTCTATCCAGCCTTTGCATCAAAGAAGGAGCTGTGACGGAGGTGTTATCACAACTCTTGTGGTGTTTTCATCACTGAAAAATGAGATGTCAACATGAAATGCACCACCAGCACTGGTAGAGATGACTGGGATCTTGGATCAGTGT